AGCCAGAGTCTGCCTTCTTTCACCGTGCTCGCTCAAGCGTGGGCCGAGAATGATAGCTGAAAAGCAGGCTGAGGATCTCAATTTTTACGGCGGGCTCTATCCGCGTCCCGGCGCGAAGGGGTTAACCTGATATGTATGTACCGACACTTTATATCATTGCAAATGTGAAGTTTAAACTCAAGCAGACATATGGTTTTCTTATTAGGATCATTTGAAGTTTACTGCTAAATGCGTGCCAGTAGGCATGCATTGAGCAAGTATACATGAACATTTTTGGCTGACCTGTCTCGAAAAAAAATGCATGCTGCATGAGAAAGGTATGTTCGATTTTTGCAAAAATGGTTTCAAAATGACTGCAAAGAATTCATATTCTAAAAATTCCTTAAAGCTCTTTTAGGGTTTAGTTGACAAAATGAATCTCTGGCCAGTCTTAGTTTGAAACATTTGTGTAAGTAAGGGCATGAGTTTTGGGCCAAAATAAATTGTTTATGATTTTATTAGCAGGTTGTTGCTTTTAGAGAGAAAATGGGTTGAGAGTATCATTAGAGTGTATCCTAGTGAAACTTTTATTAGTTGAGGTAGAAGGAATTTGATTTTTATTTCAAAAAATTAAAAAAACATTGTCTGTCTTTCAACATATGGCTCACGTTATGCCAGTATGTTCATCTGGTATAACATGCATTTTATACACAGTCAGTGGCTCACGCGTTTGCCGTGTGCTCTTTGATTTTGTCCAATTTTTGGTCACAAACACTCTTCACCATGCCATGGGAAACCCTTCTTTGCATGGTGGAATACTTTGGTACTTACTAAGTTTATTTTTTGTCAGCCTTTGGATGTATTTACACTGTCAAAAATTGATTGAAACAGGATTGAAATCTGCAATCTCAGCAGTATCATACCATTCCTACCAGTCATGTATTACCATTATCATTTTCTTTCCTTTTTCATCAGCCTATTTGAAGCACGGCAGACACAATAGGAAGACACTATTTGAAGTGGGTAATTTTGAGCAAACACAAATGATTTTACCCAGACTTAATACATGTAGTGCCCTCGTGTCTGCCATAGTTCAACTAGGCTAATTTATCATTGCACTTCAAATTTGGATCCAGCTGATTAGAACATTATTTTTTTATTTTGATTCTCAGAATTAAGCATAAGAGGAAATAACTTCCCCTTTATTTTAATGTTTAGAAAACAAACAGGGATCAGGTACATGTAATGTATATACACATTCTGAAAGTAAATTGGAATCCAGTTTCAGTCGCTTTTGTTAAGTGAAATGAAAATTGAGGGCAGTCATTGTGTAATGAAATAAAAAATCAAGAGATTGGCCATTCTCTTCCTAGGAGGAACTGAAGGGAGACCATGCTACCTACATGAGACACCATCCAGAGCTCAAAGCGCTTCTTGCAGACTTCCTACAATTCCTTCTCCTACGCAAACCAGAAGATGTAGTGGCCTTTGCTGCTGATTATTTTGCCTCCTTCTCCCCTACCACCAAGATGGGTAGCTCCTATGCAACATCTAATGAGCCCAGGTACACTCCAAGGCCAAACTCTCCATTCAAGAAAAGACAAGGGGAGGATGCAAAAGGACTATCCAGTTGAGGAAATCATAACTAGCTTGTGTATTTGGGGATATTATATAATCTAGCAAAAACCACAGAAAAATGAGTTAGAATGCTACGAAATTCCAGGGTAGGTTTAAAATGAGCATACATGTTCATGTATGTGCTTTGTGTCCTTGTCATAGTTAAACTCATTGATTTTGAGACTTGATAAGCACAACAAAAGTGTGCGAAAGTGAATTGCGATGTGTAGCATTGGTTACATTGCAGAGTGTTGGAAATGCACAACATGTACAGTGGTTGTCAGGGCACTGTTAGCATTAGCATTGATTTATTCCTACAAAGTCATATGAAACAGAAAGAAATCTAAAAAGGACTAATCTCCAAAAGAAAAACACCCCCACCAATAAAGAAAACCCTCATTTGGTAACAGTTCATTGTTTTGGTACTGTTTTTAGATGCTTTTGTTCTCCAACATGTGGTTTTTGGTTATTTAGTAATTTGGGTGTGGTTTTGTTTTTAAACTGGCTTAATAATCTTGGCTTTCTGCATATGTGTGGAAAGGCCTTTCTTTTGTCATCTCTTCTTCTCTTTTCTTATTATTCTTCTGCCATGAGTCTCATAGACTCTTTTTTCAATACAGTACTTTTGCCCCTTTGGGGAAGTCAAGATGTGCACTGAAAAATTACATGATGATGTCATTAGAGATTATGTTACATTGACATACTTAGAGGGGCGTATATCCAGTTTCAGTATGGAACTTAAGTACACACTTAATCAGTTTCAGATTTGTGGGTTCAGAGACAGGGCTGTTTTATTTTTTGTCCTTTTTATTTATTTATTCATGCTGACATTGGCAATGGTTAATATATCATGGACAATATAATAAATATGTAAATGTACATTGACAAATACTGTGAATAAAAAATTAAGCAGCTAATGCTGAGAAAAACTAGTCTTATACACGTATAATAGTCGGTTAAACTTATTTTGCAATGTTAACATTGAATTGCCGGCATAGGGGTCTGGATCAGTCAAATGATTACTTTTCTCTGCCAACCTTTGCACGGATTAGTTTTCCCAAGATGTTATACCCCAGTGTGAACAGTTTGAGTTCTGTACATGTGTTTCTTTGGTGGGTCAATCTATCTTTTGACCATACCTTGCTGTTTGCATTCATTCATGACAGTCATGGTAGATGTATGGACACCTTTAGATATTTCAAGTATACTTCATAATATTGTATTCACTGATGCCATCAAACACTATTCTGTAAAGATGACGTGTGAAGGGTTCAAGGAATGTTACATTTCAAATGTTTACTGCAATCTACTTGGAGTGTTGTATGGTTTGATTTACTAAATGAAGTACTGAGGGTAAGTATGTGTGTGTGCAAAGCCCCAAATTTGACTGGGACACTACACACCTCCAGGTCGAAACTTAAATTGTCGATTCCGCTTCTTAAACGTATCAATGAAATGTGACCTGATATTTAGCTGAAAACTTCTGTCTGAGATTTATTGAAGAAAAGAACTTGAAAACCTGTATTCATTTCAGTCACATATTTGTGTACAATTCAAGTCATGAATGGTTTCAGAAGTCATTTTTGTTTTTGGATATATTATAAGAATATTCCTTGCAAGGCATTAGCATCTAACAATTTCTTGTATGTATTCCTTCATTAACGTAACAAGATTTCACATGTGCCTTTGAAAGGACATTCCAATTTTTGAACCGTTTAGTACAAGGCAACATTTTGTACTCGGAGTCAACATCGTAATGTACAGTTGGAGTCATGTTCAAACAGTTGCAGAGCAGACAGATACAGCAGTTTGATCACTGCAAACCAGCTTGAATGAAGCAGATACTCCAGGGTCCAGAAATACATATATGCCAAGCACAGAAAAGACTTGCTTGGGGAGACAAGTGTACAATCAACTTACAATGTGTGCTCTTCAGTGATGGGAAAAAAAGGAAGAAAACATATTTGTTTGTGCATAAACTTGCAACCAAACAAGACTTTGCTTAGCATCTCTGTGCTAAGGCCCTGTGCTGCTGACCCACAAAGAATGACATGGTTAACTATAACAGCTACATGACAGCTTTGTATGTAGCTGTTAAGAAATTCATCTCCAGAATACCGTTTGCTAGCTTGTTTGTTTATTTTACAAAGGACAACATTTCATTTGAGCTGGAATTGTAATTCAGAAAACTTTTTTTTCCCACATTGATCTGTAAACTTCATTTGACAAGTAATTTTCAAATTGTGTAGATGTGCTCCAGCCTTTCATTACCTATGTTTGTCGTCAGTTTTCAAGCCACAGTGGTCACATTGATGACAGTTCAGTTATGTTGTACACAGAGGTAAATCTTGCCAAAATGTACCAAAGTCAAAGTGCAAGGTATTTATTCTCCCATACATTAGAGACAAAATATTACAGACATTTCAAAACTTACAGGTGAAACTTATTTACATGTACAGTATATGTCATGATTCATGAAAAGTTGCAACTACTGTGGTTATTAAGTCAAGAGCGAGTGTACATTTTGCCTCATTATCCTATGATAGTACTGTTTACTGGAGTATAGAAAGATGTCAATCTGGATATGAGCAAGGAGCATTTTTACTCTTCAAACACAGCATTCTAAGCTTCTCTTAGAAAGTAGGTATTCTGACTAGTTATTCTGATTAGAATGGTGTGGTGTAGCCCACACCACCGTTTTGATCTGAATCACATTCACAAAACTAATTTACTGTTTTGGCCCAGCTACTGAAACAGCTCGTTTGTATTCCCAACCCCATTTTCTCATCCACTTGTTGCTTTAGGCTTTGTTTTGTTTTCAATCTGGAAGTAGGTTTGTGCACATTTGCGAGTTCTGTCAACTTCAGCTTTGCACCATCCACTGAAGATGCGTTCTGAGATGTGACTTCATGATAACATTGAGGGTCACATGACATGTCCAGATAGCTCCTTTTTGTAGGCCAATATCTCTACAACTATACACAGCTGATTTGATTGAAACTTTGTTTTTTATGTGTACAACGTGTTACATGTAAACTTGAGGTGAAGTCAGAATGACATAATTGGATGATTCTTTATGCAGATATTTTTTTTAAAAAGTACTTGCAACATTCTTTTAACCACTCGGTGCCGGTGTTCCCAGTACCAGAGACCTTGGCATTGTATGCATTTCCGGGGTGCCTGAAATCTGACAAAGGAGCTGGGCCTAGCAACAAAAGACTGTACTCAGAACAAAAGACCGAGCTGCTAGGAATTGCCATTAACTTTTTGTATGCTGTTAGCATAGAGTGCTGGCATTAGCAGAGGTAATCCGTCATTGTTTTGAAACAGTATACCATTGATTGCGGCATTCAGCACCCGTGGATTATCAGCAGGGACACCAGGGATGAGCGATACACTACCTCTGCACGCTAATCTGGCCGCATTTGTAAAAGACACCACCACCATTTTCGGGAACAAATTTTGGGGACAATTTCAGGAACAAAGGAAATGACACAACACCGCACAATGTGGGCTCTCTTTACTGGGTGGCAGGCCTGGCTGCAATACTCGGGGCGTCAATAGATATTGCCTGTCAGATTAGAGAAGCCACCAGAAGGTCATTTGTGTGGGTGTAAGTATCCAGTAAATGAAGATATGAATTTTTGAAGAATTTTGAAAATAGAAAATCTTGAAAATCGCCTGGCAACTTGTCCCGTATATGCAAATTCCATCCGGCAGGGAGTGGTTAAAGATGCCTCATAAGTGACACAATTTCACCAAGTTTGGACCTTTGTGTGGTATCACAACACAAGACAAATTAGTTACTAATGTTTGAACGTTTCTAATCTTCTAATTGCAAGTTTGACATTATTTTAATGGTATGTTAGATGTGCAATGACAGACATTTCTGATGACATCATTACATCAGTGAAAAGCAGGGCATGATTGAACTTTTGTAGATAATGTAGGCATCTACAGTGCCAAAAGTGAAGTGACATGATGGTGACACTTGGTCTTGTTTCCATTGATTTTTAAACATTTCCTTTCTAAATTTGCATTTTGGCATGAAGTCAGCTTAACTTTTGAACCTGAGATTGCATTGTGTAGTTCATTAGGAGTCCTGTGTGATAAGGATATGCTGTCAATGTAGTGAAGACTCAAGTTGGTATCTACAGTGTTTTTTGTATATACTCTTATGCTGGAGACCATTTTTAAAATGTATAAGTGTGAAAATGGTAGCTGTGATTGTAACATGATATCTGCTTTCTGTACAGGTCCTTTTGGAGGTTTCGAACATTATTTATATTGTGTATATAATCTACAATTGCAACTTGTACATACTGTAAGTTGTGCGGTGAATAGATCACAGTGTTGTTAAAAGTTTGTAAGTTCTGTTTTACTGTTTACTATAGATTGTCAATAGTGTTCATTAGAGGCTGTTTGTACTAAAAAGACAGGGAAATAGTTTCCTTGGAGTTTGCAGATTTTGTTACAGCAGACGGTTATTTTGCGGTAAATAAATTTTGGGGTTAGGAACACTCAGTGAAGCCTTATTCATAATTCAAATGTACTGATATGGATTACAAGAAGCCCTAATCCCCCCCCCAAAAAAATTGAAGTGCTCCAGTAAGTACATACGGGCTTCCCGTTGTTTTCTTACAACTGTTTATGTTGATGTTAAGAGCACAGTAGTTCAGAGGTGGGGTGCTGGACTCTGAATTATGAAAAGCAGTTTCCAACTTCTCACATGACACTTTGTTGGGGAAAATGTTCATTATTCCAAATACAGGAAACTCGCTAAGGGTGGGGATTAACGTTAAATTTCAAAAACGTTTAGAAAACTTTCCTATAATGTTTAAATGTTTAGCCAACACTACAGATGCCGCTGCCTACCTCGGTGTTTTCATATATGCATAATTATATAGTTCAACAATGCATATGGTCCAACCAATGTAAAAGGGTAGATTGGAGTTAGGGCATTTAAAACACAAGCAATTTTATTGGTTTAGAATCCATGTTCTTTCTCAAAAAGCACATGGATGCCAAAAGGGAAAAAAACAGTATGTAACTGGCATTGTTTACGAAAAAATTAATGCCAGATCACATCAATTAAAACGTCAAACCTCTAGAAGGGGCGGTTCTGTCAAAACCTTTGGGAAAATCTGCAAACGGATTTGGAACTTTTTTCGTTTAAACGTGTGAACGGCCCACCCTTAGAACTCACCAAGAAGTCAGTTTGCTGAGAACAGAAAAAAGAGCAACATTAGATTGCCTTTCAGAATGTCATGTATGTGCATGGAGATGACCCATGGTTGGTTTTCCGCAGTCAGTGTTTCTTTAAAGTTATGTATTAGTATTGGCAGCTCATGTTAATGGGCCTGCATGGATGCACTCTAATTCATCCCGTGTGAGATGTCCTAGAGCATTTTAGCAAGTTGTTTGAGACTTAAAGACTTATACCTCATGCACTTCAAAGCTTTAGTAGTTGGCAGTTTTTATTTGAAAAGAAATTGCATTTTATCTTTTCATGTGTTTGTTATTAGGAATTGGATTACTTCATTTAATTATGGAAACTATTAAAAGTAACTTAACTTATGATTCTGCTGTTTTACCATCATTTTATAAACTTGATGTTATTCCTGTTGAAATCAGACTGTGCCATTGTAGAACTCAAAGCTGTACTGAGGTAAACTTGTACATAAATTAATATTTTCATCAATGCGCATAACATAGCCCACACCTATTGTCACGAATTCACACATGTACAAGGTGATACTATCCAATACACTCCCCTCCTTTTTGTAGCCCTCTCCTTAAAGTCCATTTAATCTGTCAAATCAATGCACGTGCTCACTCTCACCTCCCTAAACCCAAGGATGGATCCAGATGGGGGATAAGCCACAGTGGTCACATTGATATCCCAGCACATTTATGTGGTAAATCTTGCCAAAATGTACCAAAGTCAAAGTGCAAGGTATTTATTTTCCCATACATTAGAGACAAAATATTACAGACATTTCAAAACTTACAGGTGAAACTTATTTACATGTACAGTATATGTCATGATTCATAAAAAGTTGCAACTACTGTGGTTATTAAGTCAAGAGCGAGTGTACATTTTGCCTCATTATCCTATTATAGTACTGTTTACTGGAATGTGGAAAGATGTCAATCTGGATATGAGCAAGGAGCATTTTAACTCTTCAAACACAGCATTCTAAGCTTCTCTTAGAAAGTAGGTATTCTGACTAGTTATTCTGATTAGAATGGTGTGGTGTAGCCCACACCACCGTTTTGATCTGAATCACATTCACAAAACTAATTTACTGTTTTGGCCCAGCTACTGAAACAGCTCGTTCGTATTCCCAACCCCATTTTCTCATCCACTTGTTGCTTCAGGCTTTGTTTTATTTTCAATCTGGAAGTAGGTTTGTGCCTTTCAACTTCCACTGAAGATGCGTACTGAGAAATGAAAGTTTTGTGGGTGAAATATTCCTCTCTGAAAGGAATTTTTACTGAGGAATTTTTTCTCTTATTAGTTTCTGAGAATCTTCAACTGTAAAATATAAGTACCGAAAATGCTGTGGTCAAAATTATTTGCCATTTTATGGAAACCTTTTTTGTTGCGGTTTGCATTGAAGTAATGTAATTATGAAAATGTAATTTTTTGTGACCAAAACGTAGTTACTTTGTAACTGGATGGCAGAAAGATGGTTTTAGTTCTAAAATAGCTAAGATAATGTTTTTGTGACATGGAACGGTACTGACCGCACAATAGTTTGTATCAATACATCACAGAGTGCTGCTATGCTGCATCGAAATACCGCCGCGATCCCATGTTGCGATCTAAGTCTAGTCATGTGTCGCCATTTGGGTTGTGCGTAAAGAACGCATAACGCCGCTAGGCGGCGCTATAGGATCTTTGGTTGTGCCCAAAGATACGGTCTTCGGTTGTCCCGTACCGTATGCGTGCGTGCCGTAATGTATGTAGTACGGTGAGGGAATCCATCCCGGCTACGTGCGTGTGTTCCCTAATCTAGACGATGGTGATGGTGATCTGGGCAATGCACCTATTTTGGCAAAACCACTTAAAAACCTTCAGGTAAGATTCCTGTTTGGCCCATTTGGAAAGAGTACGGACGCCGCTTGACTGGTCTGAAAAATTCTAGGTGAACACTGGTGAATACCTGAAAATTTTCACTACCACTTGATCTAACGTTGTTCAGGCAGTGTTAGGCATTGCATTGGGCCCTCCGTCGTGTCCGTGGTAACATACATAGGCCTACATCATACAGGACGTACTGGTACATAACCCTTAAAATCCTTCCTCCATCATGTCAGTGCTTTGACTAATACTATAGGTCACTGTGGGGCAAAGTTTAGTGGCGTCCGTACATGAAATTCTCTCCCCTCAAGCCTCCATTATTTGGGCCCGCATTGGACTACTGTACCTCCGTACACGTGTAGGCCTAACGTTATGCTGACTCGATTTGGGCAGAACAGAGTTAAAATCGACAAATTTAGCTTCCCTACCTACACACGTACATGTTTGATATACATGTATGTAGGCCTACATAAACATGGAGGAAGAACACGAAGGAGTTACAACTCTGGCATATCAAAGTGCTCGGTGATCATCGCCGCCCGGTCAGACGAACAAAAGTAAACATTCCAAAATTCCTGATTACTGCCTGCAGCTTAGCCAGACAAGTTGGGCAAGTAATATTGTAGGAATATTTGTAGTGTTTTCTTTGCAATTAACTGTTAATTTGCAAGTATAACTTATCGCAGTGACCAGGAAATAGAAGGAATAAATATCTAACATTAGATTTACTTTTGCCGTCGTGAATAATTAAAAAAAATTGAGGTCTGTCCAAATTTGGAAATCATGGAGGGTAACGCTACGAATGGGGACAGAATCAGGCACCCAGGAGGGAAATAACAAAAGCAATCTTGGTATTATTTGTCACAGTTAGTGAGTTACACATTCTACAATGCTAGAAAGTCGGGAGTAATTGCAGAATACCCCACCACTCGAAAATGACCCCCTTGAAATCGTTGATTACAATGTTGAAGTGGCCATGGTGCAGCGCAGACCAAGCTGCAAAATCAATTGGGTGCAGTTGCAAGCGGGCAATAAAGCAACTGGGCGAAAGGTACATGTAACTAGATGGGATTCCTTGTGGGGATGCATAGTCAATGAATGTACGCTAAATGAATGGTGATAGGAGAAAGAAAATCGAAGTCCAAACCAAGAACCCGGTAGCTGGCCATGATGTTGCAAAGGCAGCGGTCCCAAAGCGAGGCAAATCAAACATGGGCAGTTCTAACGCGAGCACTTTACAATGAGGTAATGTAGGTGAAGCCCTGTGCGTATTTTGTGTGTGAGTGGTCAAGCGTGACATCATAGCCGGCTATGATGTGGAAGAGGTGGGTGGCGGGGTAGTCTGCCATAAACCTTTTCGACGTTCGCAATGCATTGATAGGTTTGGATGACATACAATAATTTCTTCTATTTGCAGTTTCTACAATACCGGTATTTTCATTTTTCCAAATTAAATTTGCCTTTAAATTACACACACGTTGTTCCATCACTTCAGTTTTTATTGATGAATTTATTTGCTGAATTCCACTCTTTCTCTGAAGTTAAAAATTCACAAAATTTTAATACAAGGTTTTTTTTATAAAGTTCTAGGAAGAGTGGGCTTATTATACTGATACATGTACAGGTAGCAACCAGAAGTACAATCAGTTGCTGGTTGATTATTGGAAGCGCCACCTTCTAGGTTGGGTGTACTACAGCTGCACAGCTCCAGTACCCCTAGATGTCATCTATTTCTAGCCTCATCTCCTTTACCTGACAGCCATCTACTGTATTTACAAAATATTTAGGTATTTCTTTCACTAGATATGTTTGACATCATTAACAAGAATCGATTATCACATTTTTCCATTTACAGAATACATGTCAGTTCTATTCGTAATCTTCTTGTTGATTCAAACGATAAAAATTTACTAATTCTTTCCAACTGTAGGCTAGTCTTCAAGCTTAAGTTTAATCTTCAAGCATTAATTCAATCTGCAAACATCTGTCTAATCTTCAAAATGTTCGGATGGTTCTTAATCAACAAATCTACTAAATGGTACAATACTCAGTTCTCCTCCAGAGTTGATGCTATGTTTTTTGAAAATCAGAGCAACCCTTTTTGGTAATACAAGAAGATGATGGTCTATTGAGTAAACTAAATAACTTGCGGTTGTGTGGTTGTATAGAGGGGCACAAATCTCCTTGGTGTTTCAAGAGCAAAAAACTGCTCACTAGGTCCTTGGAAAAACTGCCCAAGTTTTCTGCCTCAGGTAGGCTCTTTTCACACAGAAAATATTGTCGAACTGCCTACTACTATGCCTGGTGGCTAATGATTCATACCATCACACACACAAGGTACATGTAACATCACACAATCTTGGAAACAGATCTGCTCTCCGCTTGATCAAATCTGGTCTGATATGATTCCTCTGCTCTTCCAATCAAGAACCCATATACACCCAATCACTCCAGTGCTCTTTCACTGTAGGCAAAACACTTTCCTAGAAACCTTTGTCTGAATGGTTACCGGACAACTAGTGCATTAAGACAACCCGACTCAGGGCAACTCGACTGTTAAGATAACTTGACTGTTGGACAACTTATAGCAAAGGTCTTTCGCAAAACATGACATCATAACGGTGTCATCACCTGATTTATTGTGGAATTTAAAATACTTAATATTTTCCCATATTTTTTTACATGTTTTTCAACAGCAAGACTAGGCCCTTGTTCAATCTGACTCCATATGTATTAGGTCCACACTCAGTCCTCCTCAGGGTAGACAGGGTCCAAGAAAAATCGGCATCATGACATCAAGTGACATGGCATTTATGATGCAAATATCAGAGGCTATATCTCCCGAAGTACATGTCTGATTTGGTTGAAATTCCGAAAGGGATGTACGAAAGATGAAAAGGGAGCACATGTGATGATGACGTCATCAGTCACGTGACATTAAATTTGCACTCTTCAAGCCCTACCAGTATACCTTCTGAAGTACGTCTCCCATCGGGTTGAAATATGCAGATAACTGGAAAAGTACATGTAAGGGTTATAGACGAAAATTAACCTCATATGATGATGGCGTCATGGAGTGACAAGTCACGTGTGAAAGGTGCACTCTTTAAAGCCCTATATCTCCTGAAGTACATGTCCCATCGGGTTGAAACTTTGCAGTTAGCTGGAAAGGGAAGGGTTATAGACGAAAATTGACCTCTCATGATGACGTCATCAGGTGCCAAGTCACTTGACATTAAGGGTGTACTCTTAAAGCCTGACTCCCGAAGTATATATCCCATCGTGTTGAAACTTTGTAAATAACTAGAAAAGGAAGGGATATAAACAAACATTGAGCTTGTGTGATGATGACCTCTTCAAGTAGCAAGTCACATGACATAAAAGGTGCAATGTTGAAAGCCTCATGTCTCCTGGAGTCCATGTGCAATTGAACTTTCCAGATAGCTGGACGAAAATAATGTGACATTTAATGTCTATTCTTCAAAGCCCCCTTCCCGTAAGAAACATTCAAAATGCGGAAAAGCCTTATGCTCTGTTCTTGAACAGGCATAAACTTACATACTTTGTATTTTGACTGCACATGCACAGAGCACACACACAGGTATTGTGGTGACTGCAGAACCAAGAACAGGCAACAGAAATGTTTCCTAACCGACTGGTATGTGGTGGTACATGTACCGGTATGTACAGGTATATGTTCCATTGTGAAATTAATTAAATCCTGAAATCACATACATGTATCATGTGGTGTCATACTGGTACATGTAAGTCTTCAAGTTTCAGCTCTGTAGAATATTGCTTACTGGCACTGAAGTTCAGAATACCACTACCAGTAAGCTTGCTGAAGCCAGTTCCACCATGGAGCTATTATAGTTATACACAAGGAGTAAGCACATACAATGATCAATGAAAGCACTGCACGTGCTGCAAGGACAAAACAAATTATGCACCGCTTGCGGGCCACAAGGAATGCTTGGAGTTGCATTTGCAAAGGATCGTGGATACCGTGCATGTGTGTCAGTAAACCTCTGCATGTTCAACATGGCCACCATCGAGACAGAAACCACTGTCACCAGAGACTTAAATTTTGATAATTTAAGTGATTATTTTGATATTCCAGAAAAGGAAGAAAGCCTGGTAACGTCTTTACACCCCAAAACATCTTTTTTAATAATAAACAGAATGACTGACAAACACAAATTCTCCAAAATTACGTGACAAGAAAACTGAAAGAATGTAGCTAGTTCAGAAGAAAATAAAAAAACGCACAAAATATGGGAAGATTCGTTATCCTTTATGTCATTGGCCACAACTGGCTCAGCATGAAACCTCGTCACGTTGTCAGATGCTTTCCTGCAGCATGTTTCAAGCTAGTTTTAACCATAGGAACCTCTGGGATTACGACTTATGATATAAATACTGTAGTTCATATTTTGGTTATTTGTTCTCTACTGCCGGAACTGCAAAATATCATAACTGACTTTAAAAACGTCTGACTTTTGCCAAATGACCACTGCTGATTCAGAATTTTCGATCGCATCTGCTGGGATCTCTCACTAACTCCTGAGGATTACTTTAGGGATCTGTGCATCTTCTCCATGTATCCTTTCCACTATTTATTTACTCTAGTATGCCGCAGTGAAACACAGCGAATCTGTGGGTTACCAGCTACCCAGCTTTGGCGATCACTGTGTACAAAGAATTTCTAGGTCGTCAACACGGGCTGGAAATGGTGCATTGTCTATGGAGCTGGCCAGAGCGGTTAATTGGATTACGGTCTGTGGGGACTTGGTTCTAAGTCCTTGTGTTTAATAGCTCCCCATGGTTCCACTGACCAGCTAGTACAATACGTGTACATGTACAGCTGGGGAAAAAGGTTACATGTACATACACTTGCTTGAATTTTTGCTGTTTGAAATAGTTTTTTCAACTTTTTCTTTATAAGGTCAGATAAATTGTTATTAATGTTTATATTGTGTACTTCAATTGAAAATACT